GAGCCCTGGAGCTGAAGGTAACTGGCAAGGTAAATTGTTGCTTGAGGTGCTTTTGTGCTTGCTCTCTCCTGACCCTGAAGAAGCTGGTTTGGAGCTGCAGTAAAGCTGCAGCAGAGCCGTTCCCAGCCCGTTTGTGTGGTCGGGTCATTTGTAGCAGGAACTGACTCATCACATCCCACTGCTGATGGGATTTCTTCGCTTTCTCCAGTGGGGCTACTCCTTTCAGAGCCAGGCTGTTCAATCACAGCTTTTCAGCTCCCTTGAAGCAAAATTCAGCCTGTGCTACTGCTTACTTCTGGTTGGCTCTGAAATGTGGAAGGGTGTCAGTGACTGAACATCCATATATGCTTTATCAGTGTCCCTGCCACACTTTGAGGTGAGAGCCACTTCTAGAGGGGCCGTTGAATTAGAAGTAGAGCCAGAGGTGATGGTTATGTTTAAGGGATTGCCTTCCTGTCACAGAACCAGGAGGAGAAGGTTTGAAGTAAAAGCATTTAAAACAACAGGACCAGCACTGTGCTTCAGAGGGATGCTGTACCCCTGCCGAAAACAACATTAGTTCTGGCCCTGCCTTCAGCATGCCAGAATGCCTCTCCGCCCTTCCTTACTTCGAATCGTTGCTGTATTTGGCGTACCCAGCCTGCCTTGGAGTAGAGCTGATGTTGAAGGCGTGCACATTTATTTGAGAGAGAAAGTTGGTTTTCCTTCTGTATCCTCCTCCTCTCTTTCCAGAAAGACTGTGAAAGTCCCAGGCTTGTCTCGTCCAGGATCTTTGTGCCATCCGTGCGCCCAGTGCACTCCCTCCAGAAGTGCATTCCAGATGAATTAGTATTCCCTGGGGAAGGAACAAGTGCACCCATGGGAGTTCCATGTGCCACAGAGCATATGCTGTGCATCAGTCTGGTGAAAACGGCAGGCAGTGGCAAGATGGGATCACTGATTTGGCTGGGATGAGGACCGCACTTAGGCTGAGTTGTCACACCCTGCCACTCAGGTGTGGCATCATCTCTGAACATCACCTCCTTGTTAGCAGCTGGGCCAGTTGCTCCATGGTGGATCGGGGCTCTTACTTCCACGAAGCAAAATGCTAATGTGCTTTTCTTCCTTGGGACAAAGCAGAGAGGTTTTTTTCTCCATGGATTTACTAAAAACTGAAGAGCATCCCAAGCTTTTTAAGGTGTCTGAAACAGCACATGTTGAGACCGAGGTTTCCACTTGCAGCCCAGTTAACTGGCCCTGCTCTGTGTTTTTGCTGGAAGTTTGCAGCCATTCCTCAACTATACACTGCTGTGTAGAGTTTCAGTTTTTGTGAAACCTGGGATGAAAGGCAAGGGGGGAGAGAGTGAATCTAGAATATTCCAGAACAGATCAAGTGTGCTAAGTGCTGCACATGGCAAGATTGAGATACCTTGACACTGGGAGCTGAATCACTGTAGAACTGGTCAGTAATGGAATAGGTGAAGAAACCAGTATGAAATGTTTCAGGCTCTGCTTAGCTGTTTTAAGAAGGCTTTATGGAGCTTGCAGTGTGCCTGTGTCTCATCGGGGAGCGTGGACTGCTGTTGTTAGAAAGTATTGAATTCACCACAGCAGCTGTTTATTGAATTGCTGTGATTTCTGCTGGATGTGGTGGCCACATCCTCCGTGCATTCCCTGCGGACACTCAGATGCTTTGACAGAAGGAGCAAGGATGCATCAAGAGCGTATTGCTGGGGACGGAAACATGAAGGTCTAAGGACCCGGTTTCTGACCACAGCTCATGTGCTATGAGACCGGGGAGGCGTGGGGATTTTTGTAGCTTGCTTTCTGTTTTCTGATAGAAGAGATTAATGTAAGTATCTCTGGATAAAAACCCGGAGCCATTGCTGTACAGGCAATTACGAGTAATATCACTACAGTCGCTTTTGGCCCTGAGTCTAGGATTAGGTGGAATGTAATCTGTTACATTTTTCAGGCTGCTTTTATTGGAGTTTTCTCATTATTATGTGATAAAGAGTAAAGCTGCATGAAAAATCCATGTCCAGTCTTGCTCTAAATCACAAAGCCCTTTCTTGGCTCTGTTTTGGTGGTAATGCTGCTGTGGATTCTTTATGTGTAGAAACTGTGGACTTGCAGAAGAGAGATCTGTATGCAGCCTTGGTTGCTCCTAGCTCTTGATTAGAGTCATTATAAGCACCTTACAGGGGGAGGGAAGTGTTGCTGAGTTCAGCAGCTGGGTAAAGTGAGGCACAGGTGGAAAATGGTGCACCCCCAGAGTCTTGAAAATAAGAAGAGGTCTCAGCCTTTCCCCTGAGTAACACCCCCTGGACCCTGCTAAAATGTCCTATCCTGAAGACAGCCTGCAGTAGTCACGCACAGGGCATCTGCATTTCCTAATTCCTCAGTGATGTAAGCACTGAGGTTTCTCACCACCTAAAACACTCGAGAGCCGAATTCTCACTTTAAGAATATTTCGTTTCCCCTGAACAAGAGGCTTATGCTACAGGCAACGTATATTGTTGATTTGACAGAGTTTTTGTACATACAAAGTAATAAGCTAATCAACTGTCAGAATTAATTGCTGGAATAACTGAAGGACACATCCCTTATTCTTTGATACGTGTGGGGACCCCCAGTCAGGATGAAGTTTTAAATGCAGGAGGTTGGAAGATAAGGTTTCTTGTGAAGCCCTGTTGGCTAGTTTTGGTGAGCAGGGTATAAAAAAAGCACACTCTCCTCCTCGCTGGGTGTTGCTCCCTCTCTCCCAGCCACTGCTGTGAGAGGCAGAACAGAAGCTGGGAGCTGCTGTACTGTTTATTTCACTAAGTGCCAGATGTTGGCACTTCCGTTCTTCCTAAACTCGTGGTGGTTTGTGGTAACGTTGACTCTCGTAGTGTGCTGGTTCCTAGCAGGGTGCAGATGTTTCTTGTCAGCTTTGGCCATCTTTCAGGGCTATAAATACTGCCTTTAATAAAGAGCAGTGGTGAAAGAGGACTGTGATTTATGAGTGAGGCTCTGTGAGCTGGCACGGCTTTTGAAGCGGCATTTGTATGTGAAAGGCTCTGTAGATGTGATAGCTCACCTGGTTATCCCTTGCTCTTGTCAATTGTTAGAGCTGGGAATTTGGAGCCAGTCGTACCTGATTTGAATGGACAAGGCCTTGACTGGGGCATGTGTCAGAGGACTCTGGGATTTTCTTTCTTCACAGGTTTGGCATAGACCAAATTCAGAGAATTTCACACATTGGCTAGTGATTTTGGAAAGGGCTGAGGAGGCATTTTTTTGCACAACCACAGTGTCAGTTTTTTTCTTTATTTATTTTTTTTCTTTCTGGGATAGCTGATGTTCACTGATGTTAATGCTACTGAAGTTGTATTTACAGTATTAATTCCCTACTAGAGCACTGAGACTGACCCCCTTTTGTTATAGCATCTTTTTATTTACACTAAAGCAAATGCAAAATTAAATCCCCAGTACGTGCACAACAGGCTAGATTTCTGTGTTCCCCTGATATTTGATAAAAAAAGTTTTGGCCACAGTGTGGATGTGTGATATTTGTAATGTTCTAGCAGCACTGGAAATATGGAAACACATAAAATACTCCTTTCTGTAGGAGCACTGCATACCTCCTTCTCTTAAACCACGGATGGAAAGAAAGGTAGGACACAGGTTGGTGATTTGTGTGGAAAGAGGCATGCAGAATGCCAAGTATTTTCATTTCAAGTTCACTTAATATGAAAATCTCATCTTTGAAGGGTTAATAAGTGGCTAGCAGATACCTGAGTAAATGGGTAGATATTCGTTACTGGAGCACAGTGATAGTTGTTTTAACCATGGCCTGTTAACTCTGAAGATTACAGTAGTGTATGAAGCTGTGGTATGTTGTTTAAAGTCCTGTGTATTTGAAGTCATCTTTAACTCATTCCACTCATATCTGCCCTATGCATGACCCCTGCTAATCATTCATGAGCCCTGTGTAAATGGGGTTTTAGTAGAAGGAATTTCTGTGTAGTATTTTTAAAAAAATAGAAGTGCTGTCAAGTGCACACACACACAGTGCTGAGATTTTGCAAGAATTTTCATACCAGTGTCAGAGAAAAGTTTTTCTAAAGTTAAAAGCCTGCCTTGTATGCAGGGATGTGTGTATGTGGGGGTGTGCTTTTTGGTGTGGAGGGCTCTTGCCTCTTTGATGGGAGAAGGAAAGCTCACCAGAGCTTTCCTACTATAGTAGTGGTGGGAGGAATCTATAAATGCATGATTTATCTAAAGTGCCCTGGGAATACCATGCTGAACATCCTGACTTTGAGCAGCTGATGAGGGAAATAATTGCCACCACGAGGGAGCAGGAGGAAAGCAAGGAGTTCTCCAGGCGCTGGCGTGGATGGCTTGTGTCTCTCATTTCCCAAACTGGGTTCCTTCCTCTGAGTCCTGCTTTTTCTAGCAGTGCCTCCCCAAGGGATGTCCGCTGCTCATGGGCAACACAGAAGCCACTGAGAATTCTGGTGATGTCATTTTAGACTTGGGGGATTGTATTGCTTCCAGGACAACTGGGGAAGAATGAGGAAGGGACTTGTGCTGACTCAGCTTGGAGTAGCTGAACACCCTAGCTCAATTACTGCATTTCTCTTGAAAAATGGCTAATGGTCTATTTTTACAGGGGCCTCTTCAAACCAAAGAACCAACTGGTTTAAAAAACACCAGTGCAAGAAGCAAATGAAGAGCCAGTGTTCTCAGGTGCAGCTGTAGACTGATAATAACAAACAGCTCTCTCTGAATTGAGCATAAGTGGTAGACACTTACCAGAGTCAGAAAGCCCGTACTTGTCTCTCTGTGTTTAACACTCTTAAGTCCTGGTGGCTGCTAAATAAATATCCCTGTTCTACACTGCTCCTTCAGTTAAGTGGATTTGCTACATTGTGTAATCTTGCCTCTGTGCTGTTAATGGCCTGCTGTCCTAAGAGGAATCTGGAATGTTATCTTACCTTATTTTTTCTGTTTTCTGTATTCTTCTCATCTCATAGCAATGTTGAACTGCAGAATGTGGTGTTAGACTCCAGTGCTGCCATGGGGAGCAATGAACTTCAGGAGAAAGATGCCACTGGAGCCCTTGGCCACGATCTCAGCAATGGCAGCAGCAGCAATTTGGAAGCAGCCAGGCGCCTGGCTAAGCGCCTCTACCATCTGGACAGATTCAAACGCTCTGATGTGGCAAAGCACTTGGGCAAAAAGTATGTGCTGATATATGAGGCTTTCGGCCACGTTGTTCTCTTTGCTGGTTCTGGAGGGGGTTCACTCTCAAATGATAACCTCTATTTATTTGTTTGCTTTTCTGTAGCAATGAATTCAGCAAGCTTGTGGCCGAAGAGTACCTTAAGTTCTTTGACTTCACGGGCATGACGCTGGACTGCTCGCTCAGGTACAAGCCTGTTTGCAGACTTTATGTTCTTGTTTTAGCAACAGTGCTGTTTGCAGCGTTGTCCTGATTGGAGTGGTCATCCTCTGGGGACTTGAAGAGAGTGCAGAGAGGGATGTGATGCGTTTTTGAGACAGAGCTTTCCTCTTCAGTTTGTCTCAGTGTGCTGCCATACTTGGGTGCTACTCCAGGAAATCTTTGGGTGGACCTGCTGAGAGATGGTCTTTGATCAGAGGAGATGGAAAAAAGTGACCAGTCACACAGTAAGCACACTAGTCTGCCACATACTGCTGGAGAATTAGGGTGTTGCTCACAACTGATCTGCACAGACTTTCTGGCTGATGCATTTTGGAGCTTGCTCTGCCTGGCTTCAGTGTACTAAATTTAGGCAGGGTTTGATGTGGCTCGGCAGCCCCCCTCTCTGTGTCTCCCTGAGGCAGAGCAGCAAAAGCTTCCACGTGGAAAATGCTGTTGAGAGTTCTGTAGCTGCCAGCATGGGTGTTTGAAAACCCAGCCCTTCAATTTTCCTTCCTTTTTATGCTGGAACCAAGCCTCAACAGTGTTTGTTTTCAGTGCTTTTTTTTTTTCTCAGAAGGCAAAACACCAAGTCTGTGTAGCAGTGGCCTCTTAGCACAGTTGCTGTGTTCTGGTGTTTAAAGGGATTTAAAATGAGTTTAAATCGTCTGGCTGAGGTTGCCTAAGTGGGATATTGTTTTTTTTTCTAATGATTCAAATCTAGGAGCTGTGCATGCACTTCTCAGTCCCTTTGCCAGTGCATTTCCAGGGGTTACTGGTGCCACAAGAGCATGGCAGACCTCGTGAGCAAGGAAACCCCAGAGTCCTGCCTGCTGAAGGTGGTGGAAATGAAACATGCCTGCATTAGCATGAGCTGCCTGCTCCTGAGGCAGGCAGAGCGGAGCCAAGCTGGAGCACCCGCTCAGGGTGCGGAGCTGCTGCAGCAGTGGGAGGTCTGCTGCTCCTTCCAGGTTCTAACAGCCCTGGAGCGTGATGCTAAATATAGCCTTCTTTTAAATTGTGAAACCCAACACCTAATTGCTTTGTGGCCCATATTTAGGGAGGTTTCTGCTCCCAGTAGATCTCGTGTTAATATTAATAGTCATGACCTTCTCTGAAATATGCCCAGGCTCGTGTGGGACTTAAACAAGGCAGGATTTTGCTGAGGTTTCAGGAGTAGGTGCAGTGGTTGCAGGCTACATGCCCTGGGCGTGCAGCAGCAGCCAGGGACAGGGCATCCTCCTGAAGCCTGGGGAAACAGAGGCATGCTGCCTTGCACTTTGCAGAGAGTGAAAGGTAACAGCCCTGTTTGCTGCTGGCTCGCTGACAAGCTGTGGTTTGCCGAGCATTTTGGCGCCCATGGCAGCCGCCCAGACCCGTGCTACCCTCAGGCTGTGGGAGGCTGTTGTGCAGCCTCAGCGACAAGTCTGAGACTTGGGAATGGTTGTTTCTTCGTTGTCTTGCTCTGCTTTCACACTGGACCCACGTTGCCCAGGCATCTCCAGTGTGCATCTCTCGCATCCTCTGCGGGAGGGGAGGAGGTGGAGTGGCTGCTCCGGCCCCTCTCAGAGTCCATTCTGGAGTCTAACCCTGGACATGGGGAGAGCAGACTTCAGGCTACTCAGGTGACTAGTTAGTCAGGTCCCCTGGGAAAATGCTTTTGAAGGTGCTGGGGTCCATCAGTGCTGGTCACTTTTTAAGCACCACCTCCTGTGGGCACAGGAGTTGGCAATTCCAAAATGTCTGCAGTCAAGCAGATGAAGCAGAAGATCGTCTTGGATGACCAGGGATCTTCTTCTGGATCTAAGGAAAAAAAAAAGCTGTATGCCCAGTGAAAGCAGGGCCAGGTAACGTGGGAGGAATACTGAGAGGCTGCTCACCACTGTAGGGTGAAAATTCGTGCGGACAAAGCTCAGCTGGACTTGAAGGTGGCCAGTACCGTGGAGGACAATAAAAGAGTTTTTTTAAAGTAAATCAGTAGAAAAAGGCGGTGCAAAAATCTGTTTGGCCTGTTACAGGATGAAGATGGTAATTTCAGAAAGAGGGGCATAGACAAGGCAGAGATGTTTAATGCTTTCTTTGCCTCTGTCTTCAACACCAGTTATAGGCTAAGTGGGTCCCAGTGCCCTGAGCTGGACAACCATGGCTATGAGAATGCTAAACTCCCAGCTGACCCTGAAGTTATGTGGGATCTGCTGCTCCAGCTGGATCCCTGCAAGTCTATGGTGCCTGGTGGAATTCATCCAAAAATACTCAAAGAGGTAGCTGATGTCATCATGAGGCCTCTCTCAATGATTTTATAATGGTCTTAGGAATCTGGGGAGGTCCCAATTGACTGTGAGCTGGACAGTATTCAAGAAGGGCAAGGAGGATGACCCTGGAAACCACAGGCCTGTCAGTGTCACCTCAGTGACTGGTAAACCCTTCCTGGGTACTGCAGAAATTAAGCCTGTCCTGGATGGGACCAGGACATTATCCACTCCTAATTCTATACTAGGTCATGCCTAGATCCTACAGCTTCCAAATACATATATATAAACATGAGTACAGGTATCATTACCACAGTCAATGGCTGTCGCTCCAAAATGTCTGTTGAGTTTATTTAATCCACGACTGTGGATTCTGTCCATCCTAAATACCTTCCAGGGCAGGAGGTATGGTGTGCTGTTGGCTGGTTGCAGGCTGCATCAGGAGCTCATGACTGCTGTATCTGGAGGAGTCCATACTCATTATCCGTGGTGGTTTTGGCACACAGTGGCAGTGTCATTCAGCAACCAATACTGTGCAATTCAACATTACAGACTGTTCTCACCCAAAAGTCAGATCCCCTTGAGGTACACATTGTGTTTCCCCTTCCCTCTGCCTCACCCAACAAGTCCTCCAGCAGAAGCCATCCCACAGGTTTGCCTTTGCTTGAGGTAGAACTAATCCAAACTGCCTTCCCTAACATAGTTCTCATATGCACTGCAGGGCCTTTATCCCCTTTTATGCTGCATGGAGGTTTTGATCAAGCAGTACCAGCTTGATTGGTAGAGCCTCTATTATTAACTAACCAGCTGGCCTCTGCTAAATGTAGATCCCAGTGTTTGAGAGTTCCACCACCCATTGTTTTAAATGTGGATTTCAACAGTCCATTGTACTGTTCAATTTTCCCAGAGGCTGGGCATGATAGGGAATATCATATACCTACTCAATACTGTGCTCTCTGTCTCAGGTGTCAATGAGGCTGAAAAGATGTGTGAAAGGGACTTTCCCTTTGAACGTCCAGCCCAGCATTGGAATTTGGGGTGCCAGGAGGAGCTGTTCTTCAGTGCCAGTCCCTTCTGAAGCAGCTTGAACCCCTTCATAAGCTGCCAGAATTTCTTTTTCAGCTGGGGTGTAGTAGGCCTTGGATCCTTTGTATCCCCAGCTCCAGATGCCCAGGGGTCATCCTCAAGTCTCCCTGGGTGCTTTTTGCCTGAGACTTCAGGAAGAACCATTCTGCAGTGTACAGCCCATTTTTTACATCTTACCCTGTCCTGTTGGCCCAAGGGCTACTGCATGAACAGTCTCCTGTTTAATTTGTTCAAAAGCCTTTTGTTGTTCATGACCCCACTTAAAATCATTCTTCTTCCAGGTCTCTTGATAGAGAGGGTTTACAATCTGACTATAATCTGAAATATGCATTCTCAAAATCCCACAGTGCCTAGGAAAGCTCGTGTTTCCTTTTTGCTGGTTGGTAGGGACACAGCTGTTGTTTGTTTGACCACGTCCATTGGAATCTCACAACGTCGATTTTGCCACTTTGCTCCTAAAAACTGAATTTTATGGGCAGGTCCCTTGACCTTACTTTGCTTTATGTCAAGACTGGGCTGAGGAGGATTTGGATTATCTTCTGCCTTTTCCCCAAAACGTCCCCTGCTGTGTTGCCCCACAGGGTGATGTCAATAATGTATTGCAAGTGTTCTGGAGCCCCACCCTTTCCCAGTGCAGTCTGGATCAGTAGTGGGGCTGTGTTCCCACCCCTGGGACAGTCGATTCCGGGTGTACTGGATGTACCTCCAGGTGAAACCAAACTGTGACCTGCACTCTGCTGCCAAGGCAATGCAGAGGAATGCATTAACAGTGTCACTGGTGACATACCACTCTGCTGCCTTGGACTCCAGTTTGTAGTGAAGTTCCAGCGTGTCTGGCACAGCAGCGCTCAGGGGGTGGTGTGACTTTGTTCAGGCCACAATAATCTGCTGTCTCCACACTCCATTGGATTTATGCACTGGGTGCCATTTATTCTCAGTCAGGCTCACTTCAGCTTCTAGTACAGTCAGCTGTTGGGATCACACTGTCACCACGGAAGTAGAGAGAAATTCTGCCCTGCATATCTCAATGGCATCAGGGTGCACTGTGCGCTGGTGCCAACTGAAACCTTACATCCTTCTGGGTCTGATGTACCAGGCCATCAGATCCACGTGGTCCAATAGATCCGACTGCCCCTTTCCTCCACCTGGCTGGAGGCAGGACCCCTCTACTTCTGGTCATAGTACTTGTTTCTCACTTGCAAATGTGAACTGGATATCCCTTCAAGAGGATTGGAAGCCCTTCAATTAAAAATCGATCCTGTCCTGGCTGGAACCAGCACAGGAGCACAGGGTAGGAAGGACAGAGAAACCCTGTGAAGACTCACTTGTATCTGCCTCTGAATTGTGTTATTTGCAGTACATTACATGTGAGAAATTAAGTTATTGCCAGGCAGATCACACTCTTTATGGATGTGAGATTGTTGCAAGTATGACCTGTCTCTGCCCTTAACATCAAAGAGAAAAAATTAAAGTTTATGCTTCGAGACTGGATAGACGTGTTTGTTCCAGCAGCGTGCCTCTCAGATTTGGTCTTAGTTTCAGTCCTATGGGATATTTAAGAATTGTCTATTAGACACTCATTCTGCGTGCTGTCTTACTTCGGACCCAGAAGGTTTGTGTTCTCAGGCTTTTCCTAGAAGCGTCCTGAGAAACAAACGCAGCAGGTCATCTTTGGCTGTGAGGCACGTTTCTCCAGCAGGAAGGATAGCAGCATGGTTAAGAGGAGGGGTGTTCAGGTGTCGCAGTAAAAGTGAAATGTGTGTGTGTCCCCCACCTCCCTGCCCAGACTGACTGGCTGTAATGAGCGAGCCCCGTGGGTGCACCAGCCCTTGACTGCCATGAGCAAGAGCACAGGAGGGCCAGGTTACTCCTCCTGCTGCTGAAGCTCAGTGGGAGATGCTGCAGCTCTTCTGCCCTCTGCACTCTCCCCCAGATACTTTCTGCAGGTCAGGTAGTCACACTGCCCCCTGCAAGCTGGCTGGCGTGGTCCTGGCCGCTCTGATTCAGGAGACCCTCTGGAAGGAGGAGCACTCATTTGGAGTGAGCTCTGAGTCTGCTGTGTGCCTGCTTGACTTCGCCAGCTGGAGTAGCTCCTCTGATTTAGAGGGGAATACTAATGAGTGTCAAGTTAAAAGGTGCAGGGGTGACAGGCAATTAGAAGAGGACAGAGAACATCCTGGATGCTTGTCTTGCATAAACAGCACCCGCTCCAGTTCCTTCCCCAAATAAAAGAAAAATATTAAAAATAAAAAGAGCTCTTTCAAATGATGGAATTACGTATTATTTTGTGTGTTCCGTGGCTGAGACCAGTGGTAATTTAACTTTCATTTCATTTACTATAATGCTGGAACTAACTGCACACAGAATGATAGCCCATTTTCCTAGAAAGCCTCCTTGGAACTTAATGTCTGGTGTATGCTTACTTATTTCTTTCTGTGAAGTGTACTTTGCTCTGTGCACTGTGTGAAGCGAAAAAGTGATTTATTACTTTAATTTCGCTTTTTTTTTTTTTTCCCCGCTGCTCTTTTAGGAGTTTCTTTAAAGCCTTTTCGCTTATGGGAGAAACTCAGGAACGGGAGAGAGTTTTAATCCACTTCTCTAGCCGATACTACCAGTGCAACCCGAACACCATTTCTTCTCAAGGTAACTTTGTGTCTGATACTGCTGTATTTGGAGAGGTGGTTAGGCCTCCTCAGTATAAATCCTCAGTTGCAGCTTCTCATATTTGGATGTCCTCCACTGTAGTTCCTGCTCTTACTGACTTCAGTGTGTGGGGGCACTTGTGCTCTTACACACATGGACAAGAATAGGTCCCATCTCAGGTGGAAGAGAAACTGTTCCCTTTCCGTACTCCACTCACTGCTTGTGTGTCTGCATGCACTGGCAGCAGGCATGCCAGTTCTTGCCAGTTGTGGGGGTGAATTTTGGGTGCCGCATCCAGACCCTGGCATGGTTTTATCTTGACTAGCTAACGTCAGCCAGAGTGCCTCCTCCTTGCCAGTGTTTTCAGTCATTTTGGAAATGGATGAGGAAAACAAACAAGCGCACAGATCAAACCTGAGAAAACTGGCATTGGAGAAGAGGACAGAGTGTCTATTGGCGTAGCTGCTGTGTTCAGCCAGCCACCCTGGCAGAGCCACATGGCCCTGTGATTGCAGCATGGGCTGGTCACACACTGAAGGAAAAAAAGGAGGACAGAAAGGAAAGCAGCCGTGGGGTTGAGCTGTACTTTTAGTCTCAAGTGTGAGTGAGAAAGAACTGCCACTCTTGGAAGTACTGCAGTGCTTCCTTACCCCTTGCTTTGTGACCTGCCCCTGTTGCAATGGGGTGATATTTGTCCACTTTGCTCCTGTTCAGCTTTACTGGCTGGGGAGAGGAAGAGTTAGCAGTAAGACAGGACCTGCTCCTATGCTATCTGTGCCCTCTGCCTATTGCCTTTTTAGTTCCTGTAGGCAGTCAGGTGGAATGCGTGCATCATGGCCAGACTGAAATAATGACTTGCCTGTTGATGGGGCAGCCTCACTCCAGTCTGGGGTGCAAGAGGGAAGTTGTCACTTCTGAGCCTGAGTAAGCAGTGAGATCAAAGGGAGTCCTGCGCACTTTGCCCACAATCTTAGCATTGTGTGCAGTTTTGGGCACAATATAAGAAAGATATAAAGCCATCAGAAAGTATTTGGAAGAGGGATACGAAGGTAGAAGGGTCTAGAGGGAAAGCTGTAGGAGAAGTGGTGGGGTCACTTAGTTTGCTCAGCCTGGAGAAGAGGAGACATAGGAGAGACCTCATCTCAGTCTTCAACTTCCTCACGAGGGGAAGAATAGGGACAGGCACAGATCTCTCTGGTCACCAGTGACAGAACCTGAGGGAATAGTATGAATCTGTGCCAGGGGAGGTTTAGCTTAGATATCAGGAAAAAGCTTTTCATCCAGAGGGTGGTTGGGCTCTGGAACAGGCTCCCCAGGGAAGTGGTCACATCACCAAGTTTGTCTGAGTTCAAGAAGTGTTTGGATAATGCTCTCATGTGCTGTGACTCTTGGGAACAGTCCTGTGCAGGGCCAGGAGTTGGACTTGATGGTCCTTGTGGGTCTCTTCCAAATATATGCTGTGGTTCTATGAATCTGTCTCTTCTAGTTCATTGCTTGGCCACTGGACCACCTTAGAGATCCCTGGAGTGTTCTCTACCCAAGATGGAGCCAAGGCACTGTAAATAGGCGACTGAAGTTCTCCAAAATCCATTCTAATTGAGCCCTGAGTGAGGAGGGAGCCAGAAAAGGAGGAAAACATCACGCTGTGCTACATCCACTCTGCACACAAGAATGGATGTGTTTTAATCTTTCCTTTCTGCTCTGAATTAAATGAAGAGAAAGGTGTTAATTCAGGCTGTGGTGTTGGTATTAGTGAGCAAAGAGTGACAGCTGTGGTCACCTGTCTAGTTTCCTGTCTGGTTTGCCTCATCCATGGGTGCTGCAAGATAGTTTTGACAGTGACTAAAAGATGAAAGAAAGACTGCTCTAGTTTGGCAGCTGTGCGATGACCTCATTGTTCATTTATTTAATTATGTGTATTTCTTGATAAAACAGATTCTTGTAGAGGGAACAGACGCAGTTAGGCCATGAGGCTCCTTTTCAGCTCTTCTTAAAGGTCCATTTTGGGGTTTGCACGTGACTCTTGTTTTGTCTCTTTCTGCAGATGGAGTTCACTGTCTCACCTGTGCCATGATGCTGCTGAACACAGACCTGCATGGCCACGTGAGTATGCACAGCTTTGTGTAGGCTGCTCCTGTCAACGCTCTGCTGGCCTGTTCCTAAAGCTCCTGCAGACACCAAACAGTGAGAAGGCTGCACTCCCAGGCTGTTGTCCTGGGCAGGCCTTTCCATTATGCCTTACCAGTCACGTGCAAGCTGGCACTGTGCCTTGCTTTGCCATAACATTTGAGAATACTCTGTGTGCTCAGGCCCCTGTCTTTCTGGTGTGATTACCGTCCTTCCGTAGTTACAGCAGCTGGCCCTGACTGGGAAGCTGTGGATGGGACTGACTTCCCCTTTACTGCATGTAAAGACACGTGGGAAGGCAGAAGAAAGGGGGAGGGGGAGTGCAGAAGTTTTAGGAGGGCCACAGAGGGAAGGTGATGTTTGCAGGCAGGCGGCTGCAGGGGGCAGATCTGGTGAAACCAGAGTTTTCCACAGCCGGACGAATGATGGGTGTGCACAGAGCCAAGAGAGTGAGGGGTGGACCTGGGCATGCTGAGTGGGAGCCCTCTGTTCTCCCCATTTCACACTTCTCCCCGCTGCCTGCCTAGGGGGAAATAGTACTCTGGTTTGAGTCCTCTTAGTCACACTGGTGCAGGGTGCCAGCAGCCCTAGGATGAGCATTTCAGCACCCATGGTGCAATATGCTTGCTATGTATGGTATTCCCATGCTGATGGGAGGCTTTCTCTACCCTGGAGTTAGGATGGAGAGGGGAAAACACAGAGATCATGGCGTAATAGCATGCAGGATCACTGTCTTCAGCCAGCTGGCTCTGGGGCTTCTCTGTGGCTGAGACCCTTCCCTGCACTTCCAAGAGTTCTTCCAGGAGGGTGTCAATTGGAAACTTAGCAAGGATGGTGGGTTGGGCAGCAGGAGTTGGAGGCAACCTGGGTCTGTCTCCAAGGGCTGCTCAGCCCCTGTGGGTGCAGCTCTGTGATTGATGCAGGGGATGAAACCAAGGCTTGAGTATTCTTCACTAGGAGTTTTGAGGCCCACCTGCCATTAATTGAATGCCTTTGTCTGAAAATTGTAGAAGCAGAAGGGAGAAGGGAATTATGAAGAATTTTTTTCTCTGAAGGCTTCGCCTTCCCCAACTGAGGAGTGCATCATGTGAGAGTGAGCAGAGGTACAGGAGCATGTCCCAGTTTGACTCTTAGCACTCACAACTTCCCTTGAGCACAGCTGAGATGTCACGCACAGGTCTCCAGCTCCCCAGAGCAACGAACACCCTGGGGTTCCTGCTCTCCAGCCTCTCTGGCCTCACAGTCCAGGGAGGGAGAAAAAATGGTCATGCATCAACCTGGCAGCAATTCCCATTGCTCCCTGCCATTCTTTAGTGGGCTCTACTGTCTTCATTAGGTATTGGAGTAAATAAATAAATAACCCAGCTCTGACCCATCATTTCTGCTGCTGATTTGCAGCTGAAGCCTGGATGACTCTGGTTGTTGCAGTATGTCACTGTGGAGGTTTACCCCACTGGCAGTTGATAGTGTGTTTTTACATATATGCATCTGTAGTATTTTCCAGAACCCTATTGTGTTGTGTCTCGTGTGTGTCATCATGTCCCCTCCGACCCCTCTGATTTCCTGTAATTTTGATCTTCCTCTTGCTGCTTTGCATTTTTCCACATAGGTGGTAAGTTTGGCATTCCTGACTCGGAATGCAGCCCTTGCAGACATGCCTAATTGCCTATTTCCTAACAAAGGTAAAGGTCTGCCCCATCCTTACCAGGATTCTGCTGGAGCGGGAAGCAAATGAGTCACCAGGGCTTGTCTACACTGAGCTCCATTTGTTACTGACTTACTGATCATAAGGGCAGACTTATTTCACAATAAGCTCAACTGCTTGTAGGGCTGTGGTGCACTGCCTTCAGTTTACACTTCCTTTAACTCTTGTAGACAAACTCCTACTTATCCCTCTATTTTCCCTGTCTTGTCACATTTCATTCTCTTAGTAACTAACTGATTTTGGCTAACTGTGTCTTGGAGGTGCATGCTTGCTCCTCTGCACGGAGGTCATCACCCAGGCTCTTAAGGTCTATCTAAACCACCAGGCACATCTTCTGGAACCTCTGTGGCACTGTGCAGAGATGTTAGCTTTGGCCCTGGACCAAAACAGCCTTTTGTCTGCGGTGCCACGTTGCTGTTGGGAATCTGTCGAATCTGCTGTTCGCTGCAGGGAAGCTGCAAACTGCTGCGTGGAGGAAAGAAACAGAAGCAGGCTGAAGTCTCAGGGAGAAGGAAAATCGTTTGCAAGTCTTACTAGACCAGCTCCAGCCTGCACCTAAAGGCTGCAGCTGTTAGCTGCGTTCTGCGTTCTGCTGAGTTCTTAGCAACCAGAGAGCCAGAGTTACAGCCAGACTGGGTTGTCAGGAGCCTTCTTGTTGTGGGAAGCCATGCATTGTTCTTGTGTTATTGCTTACCTTCTTCCTGCAGGTCTGTGCTGGCCACAAGCTGTGGGATTTTCTTTTCTGGGTAGGTGAGGCCAGTGGTCAAGGTTTGGTGGTTTTCCATCTCTCCCTGATCAGACATTATGAAAGGGAAGTAGGGGATGTGCAGTCCAAGCTGTCATGTAACTGTAACGTTAAGTGACCTGTTTTACCAACTGGTGCTCTCCTTTGGGCTTCCCTCGTGCACTGATTTGGGCTCTTGGTTCTAACCCAAGACACCATCTTTGCACAAAGCTCTTCTGATGTATTTCTGCAGACAAAGCATACCCTGACCATGGAGAAGTCATCTTCACCTCCTTCTCTTGACTGGCAGAGTGCCGTCTCCAGAGATACCACGATCATCACAGAGCCCTGTTTATCCTTTGCCTTTTACCATGTTTCACAGCTCACCTCAGGCTGCTTTTCTTTCCTCGGATCTCTTTGGTTTTCTTTTTCATCAGTGCAGTGTTGTCATTGCTGCCCACTCACAGGGATCTCCACGTGCTAAGCAGGGGACTTCTGACACCTGGGGGACTGAGTACAGACACTTTCTCTGAGGGGTGATGGAGACTGGGATTCAAGAGCAGTCAGGGCAGCCTCAAGGCTCTGTGTGGAACAGTTTAGATCCTACGTGAACACAGCTGTTCATGTAGGAACAGCTATATTGGATGACTTTCAGTTTGAGAGTAAGAGAAGAGAGAACAGAGAAGAAAGAAATAAGAACAGTCTTATGGAAATGTCAAGGCAGCCTCAGCCTGCTAATCAGAGTTGCTAATGACCGCTTCTGGGCATCGTACTGCAACTCAGGGCAGTTGCTACTTGAAGGGAGCACTGGAAATTGTAAGAGAAAGGTCTGGAAAGGGCCTCAGTCAGCTGTTTCCTTGTGCCCCACAGCAGATTCAAGTAGAGCTTTTCCATCAGAGGCTGGTAGAGCCTTTTGAGACTTGTGGATGTAAGGCACCATGGAGATACTAGAGAGCTTCATCATTGCCCTTTTCATTACCCCCAATATTAAGTTGTTTTTGTTTTTGGATGAGTTGTTTTTGGACCCTTCGGTGCAGAAGCACCTTCCCGTTTTCTAGCTACGTGCATACAGGGATGCTTGTCTCTGAGCAATCTTGTGAATGCTTCCTTACTGCTGCCTGCCTTGGGCTTAAATGAGAGCAAGGGAGATGCATTTAATCTGATGTTGCTCGCTCGTGTCATTTCGGAAAGCAGCAGGAATGTGATGCTGTGTTTCTCTGACATCCCTTCCAGAACATCGGGAAGAAGATGACCTGCCAGGAGTTCGTTGCTAACCTTCAGGGGATGAACGACGGCAAAGACTTCCCAAAAGGGCTGTTGAAGGTAAGGAATTAACCACAGAACGTGGGTCTCGTTTTTACTGAGGGAAGCTTCGAAATGGAACTTGCATTTCCTGAACCTTAATTATCACACATGACCAGCGATGGGCACATTTCTCCTCCCAGAGCATACATAATACATACAGTGTTTGTTGTGTTGTTTTCCCCCTTGCCTTCACCTGAACTCTCTGCAGCATAGGGAGGTGAGAGTGAACTCCAGCAGGGCTGGCTCCAGAGCCGTGTGCCCTGTAAACTGCTGTGCCCACACCAACCCGGAGTGCTGTCTCCTGATTGCACTGGACAGAAGCAGCCAGTTGGTTCTGACCTTGAATACATCAGAACTAATCTTGATCTCTCTGTATCTGGAGGGCATGTGCGTTTTTTCATCAAAGGTGCTTTGGGGTTTTCACATTAGAACTGGAGATGTAATTTCAGATTATAATGTGCTGCCTGGCACAGGCTGCTTTGCTTCGGGTTTTGTTCATTAAGTTTGTGCCAGGAGTTAAATCTGAAGAACAGGAAACAAGGCTGAGCAGGACAAATCTTTTTTCATTGTCAGTAATAATGAGAATGTTTCACTTCTTTTTTTTCTGATTGCTGGCATGAAACAGCAGTCTGTTTGAATGAAGGCAGGTGCGCATACACTGGAGTTTTTAATTTTAATTTTTTGTAATGGAAATAAAAATAAGAGGCCTCTGCATCTGAGGGCTGACCCAAAGCCTACTGAAATAAATCAAAAGAGCTGCTATCTCTTCTGTGGGTTTTGTGCCAGGCCCATTGTGAAATACAGACGTACCTGCATGGTTACAAGTGGCAGACTTCGTTTGCTAGTGTTGGTAATTTCTTCAGTTTCTCTGGCCTCTTCAGGGAGCTTTTTGTTGGGCCCTCCTGCCTGAGATCTTACTAAGCAGTGAGGAATATAAACTCAGCACCCCTTTATTTTAGATTTAACATCTTTAATTTTTAAGTCTTGATACAGAATATTCATCTGTCAGCAGCAACACTTAAATTCGTTTTTCCCCCAAGGAATCTCATTTCTCAGTTTGCCATAGAGGGATGTGTTGAGATTAATTTGCAGGCTAATTACAGCCCTTATTGAATAAGTAGATCTCCAAACTGTGTTTAAATAACCTTCTGAGTGCACTGATGAGAGACTTCCACTGGTTCTCACCTGCTGTTTGTTTTCCTGCTGACAGAATTATGCAGCTGGGGCTGTTCCTTGGTGTTTAGTGCTCACCTGCTAATGCTAAAGCTGCCTGGCTCTTCACCAGCCTATCCAAAGCAAGGATCAGGGCTCAGGATTTTTTGGATGTAGACAGACAGAAGAAGTTTGCTGTCATTTGCTGTCACACTTTACCTGAGGCTTTCTGCCTCATTCTGTATGCTGCATTGATGTCTTGGGGACGGAGGTGAATCTCAGCCTTGTTCTCTCATCTTGGCTTGTCTGAAGATTGGCTGATGAACTGACCCTTGGTTTTTAATTTATCAGTGGAGTGAGTGGCAGTAATTGTGCATTTCAATATCTACTGTGTCCACAGCAGCCGCCCTGCCACTGAATGTGCAATTACAAAGACTTCGCAGAAATTAGTTTTGCATTAGTCCCAGTAAATTAAATTCACAGAGCTCCGCTTCAGCACAGCACCAAAGTGCTTTTGGCTTGCTGCTGCGTTAGCAGTGTAGCTAATGAGCTTTGGTGAGGCTGCAAGCCATCTCCCTGCATCCTTCCCCAGCCTCAGAGAGGAAGAGCAGTTTCCACAGGGTGGCAGTGTGTCCCTGTGGGAGTGAGGTCCGGAGCACCCACGGGTGAGTAATGCAGACCCTCGGGGAGGCAGGTGGGCTTTTCTGCCTCTCCAGTCTCTCTGTGTTCTCCTCACAGCTCTGCTGCACCCCTCTATGAAGCTCTGCTGAGTCCTGGAGCAAAGCTGAGCAGTGCTGGAGGGGAAGGAAGACCGGGGAGAGCGGAGTTTTCATCCAGGGCTTGTGAAGCTCTGCGCGGCATTTACTGTGCATCCAGTTCACAGAGCAAGGCGTGCAAATACTGCTTGGGCTATCCGGGACAGTCGGCTGACAGGCATTGATCAAACACTGTCTTCAGTCAGTCCCTTCACCATTAGTGCTGCTGAGTGCAGGGTGTGGCCCTGAGTGTTTTGTCTGGGTAGGTAGATAACCCACCAAGGGGCAGACATCAGCATGTGGGGAGTGACACACTTCTTTGTGATCAGCCTGAGAAAACTGGGGACATAAAGTGCAATTGCTCCTTTCTTTACACTTCTCTGAAGGAGCCGTCTTTTTGTTTTATTAAGTTTTTTCCCAACAGTGAGAGCATTTTTTGGGAAACACACAAGGCCTTCATGACCTGATTCTCAGTGTGCCACTGGCAGTGCTTTGAGAACAGATATTTTACTCTGGTTAGAGGTAGAAATGATAAATGCTAATATGATCTTGCTCACCCTGTGTCTTGCTGTCTGTTCATTAACGCCGAAAAAAGTTTTGCTTTCATACAACCCATCCGCACAAAGATTCATTGCCTTTTCTTTTTCCTCATTCTTTTAGTCAGATCTGAGGTTGCTTTTAAAGTTGGGACCCATAAAGACAAATGTGCCTAACTGTGATTAAAGGTGTGCTTCTCCCCATGGGTTCTGCTTTCAGTATTCATGTATTCAGTACTTTTCCAGGCAAGCAGATACATGTACCTTGCCTTTTACTCCAACTCAGCTCCTGTTTGACTGTCCATCATACATCCTATTTATCTACCATCAGCTGCTAGTAAGGGCTAGATGTGGAGACAGTAGCTTGATTTCCAGTTGTGTACTGCCAGTGCATTCTGACCAGAGAGTGGGAGTTTATATTTAACTTCAGGGTTCCTGTATGCCTTCAAACTGGAACAAATTCCTTGTAAATGAGAACCAGCTTCCCAAGCTGAGGTATTTCTCTCCAGTGTTAATCAGGATCATCTATCTCTGTGGGTATGGCTGATGTAGAAGGTGAGTCAGGTCTGTTAAATCAGGCAGACTAAGGTTATTGAAAGTTAATTTTTTTTCAAAAGCAGGAAGACTTTTTGAAACCCCTGTCCTTTGAGCTGTCACAGTCCAAGCACACAAATAAATTTTATGTTGTGCCAAGCCGTGATCAGGCAAGGTAATCCTAAATTTCAGCCTTGATCTTACAGTGCAGCAAAGGTCGTTTTGTTCTGGTGAGTTGAGGCGTTGGAAGGAGTGCTGAATACCAAGAGCTGTGACCAGTGTGTGTTCTAGTTGGTGCTGCAGTGCTGTGCTCTGGAGTGGCTCGGTGCTTGCTCCTAAGGCTGTTAATGAATCACATAATTGCCAGCATTTACAGGTGGGGATGAGTGACAGGTTTACAGGGACTTGAGAGCGACAGAGGGACTCAGCAGCAGCTCTCATCTCCTGAGAGTGGAGTTACACAGCATCCCAGAGTAGCTGCTGCAGATGCTGCAGAGCTGAGGAGCAGAAGGAGAGAAGGAGCACCAGCGTGAATGAGAGAGCTGAGCAGTTTAAAAGCAGAAACAGTTAAAACAACTAAGTTAAACCTGTGTGTTGTTAGCCCAAGAGAGTCATGACCAGACCACTGTGCTCTTATTCTCGTAGAAAGGGAAGCCATGACTAGGGTCTCCCTACTTGGAAAATAACAAAATCAGTCTGACAATTTGGCAATGTCAAGAACCTCATGATTACAGTGTAGGAGTTGTTCCTTTCTCACATGCTCATACCAGCTTTAATCTGGTATAGGGACACTCCATAATGACACCATAGCCTTCTTTAAGGCTGATCTTCTCAAGATTTCCTGGAATGAGGAGGAGATGGGCTTGAAAAGAGCCTACTTTTGGCCGTGCGTGGTTGCTTCCGTTCCTACAAGCACTCCTGTCCCCACAGATAAAGTGCCACTGCTGTGCTGGCCACTGTGTCTTCATCTTGCCACCTTGTGGCAAGGTGTGTGGGAGTCCCCTCCATCAAGGTGGCAGTGACAAGGCCTTTCACATGCAAGGAGAGAAAATGCCTGCTGTGGTCAAAGGAGAGCCTGCGAGGAGTCACCTCTGAGGAAGTGGGTCTCTGCTTTTGTTGGGCAGTGTCCTGGGAGGGGGACTCTGTTGTCAGTCTGTGTGCAAAGTACCACCAGTCCTGCATGAGCAGATGTCCTCTGCCCTTTACAGTGTCCAGGGCACCTCGTTCGCGGAATCGGAGGCGTCACCCAGGCTCTGACACGGGGCTGGCTCTGGTGGCTATGCTGCCCTGTGACATGGACACTGGACCTGAGGGGGTCTGTGTGTCTTCTGGTAGGAGGTGGTAGCTTTTCACTGACCCATTGTACTGTCTGGGAACCTCCATCATGCTGAGGGGCTCTGCAGGGACTTGGCTAGCATCATCCTAGAAGGGGCTTCTGATGGGGATAAGATGCCGATCCTGATTAAAAGATCTGCTCTTTCTCAAAGGCTGTTTTTTGGATGGACCTTATCTCCTGCAGAAAGAAGCACTGTAATGAAGTGACCAAATTAACTTAAGAGTTGCTGGTGCTGAACTCTCCAGCCCTCCCTAATTTCCTAAATGATCTGAATTCTTGATCAGGATTCCTGGGATATGTAATTTCCTGTAGAAGCTGCAAGGTAGGGTTTATCTAATTTTGCTGTCAGTTCCCTGCACTTTAATTAAGGACTTTTTTTTTTTTTTGCCACTGTCTTTCTGCCTCCTCTCTCTCTCTTTTTTTTAAATCCCCTTTAAAAGCCCTCCAAAATGAACACTCAGTGTAAATCGAATTAGTGGCATCTTGTTTCATCCATTCCAGTCATTTCAGGTATTTAGCAGAGAAAAGGGAATGAGCATCAGGTGGCTGACCCCTTGCTGCACCCCCCAGCCCTTCCTTTACACAGAGGAAATCACACTAACCGGACTGCTGTGTACACCCTAATTGCTCTCATCAGCAGTCTCTGCACGCCATCCATTTCCTCTCTTTGTGGCAAGAAATTCCCACCTTCCAGGGAAGCCTGAT